CATTTTCTGTTTTACTGCCCATCTTTGATGACATAAGGGATGTACTTTCTAGAAAAATGCCCTCCATTAATGTTGATTTCTTCTGGTTAAATGATTTTGAAAAACCTGTGTTGTGCTTTAGAAGAGTTTAAGGCTGAGCTGTAAGAGGAGCATGCAACCAGTGGTGATTCTACAGTCTGTTGGGGCCGTAGGCAAAAATTGATTGGGGGCCCCTCCAACCACTATTATATCTACCAGTGTCCCGATGCGCTTGCTCTTTCTTTTTTTAACTCCCAGACAGATAATTCCTCTTCATTTCTCCCTCAGTGCTTTTCACTGACACTTTGTTTTTCCACAGGAGTAATACATGAGATGCTAAGCAGGGCAATGACAGTGAGTGCTGTCAGATGGGGCCTGATTAGGGAGGTTTCCTATCATCAACTGTCATTGTAAAATTTGCACATTTTGAGCTTCTGCTGCGGTTTTAAATTGAGAAAACCCTTGCGGTCCCGTAGCAGCCTGGTCCCCCTAGCAGTTGCCTGATTTGCCTGTTGACATGCAGTACCTCTGTGTGCAACTATGTAATGTTATGAATTGAAAATAAAGCACTTTTGTACTCGTAAACAAACTTTCTCCTTTACATTTTAACATTTAAATTCTGACTTGGAATTTAACTAGTTTTCTGTTGTACGGGGAAAACTAAGCCAAATCTAATTTATGTTTGTTGCATTTTAACATAAAATAGATACAGCCAATGGTTTTCACAGAAGCAATCTATCATGTTTGCAGTTTTTATACTTTTTTTTCCACAACTTGTTGAAAAACAAGGCAGTTGAATGAAAGTTTTGAACATTTATGAGTGGACCTGGAAACTCAATTTCTACCGCAGCACCCCTTAACACAGGTCAACACAATACAAACATTACAGTGCAAAGAAAGAGGCTCTTCAGATGATAATAATAGTATAATCAAGAGGACAGGAGATCCCTCGGTTGGGGAAATAAATTATTAAATAATTTCCCATCTTTAAACAGCTGGGCTGAAAATTGCCTCACCTGAGAGGCTTTCAACAGCTACAGCAAAAATGTATTCCAGTGATTTACAGGAGAGCTCTTGAACATCGGGAAAAGCACGATATTGGAGCCACTTCAATCAAAAGTAAGATGTCAAAAGAGGGCCACATATGGACAAACGCACACACCGAGAGGAGAGGAGAGGAGAGGCGAGGCGAGGCGAGGAGAGGAGTGGAGAGGAGAGGAGAGGAGAAGATTGGAGAGGAGAGGAGAGGAGAGGAGAGGAGAGGAGAGGGAGGAGAGGGGAGGAGAGGAGTGGAGAGGAGATGAGAAGATTGGAGAGGAGAGGAGAGGAGAGGGGAGGAGAGGAGAGGAGAGGAGAGGGGAGGAGAGGAGTGGAGAGGAGAGGGCCCACAGAATGTGACAGAAAGGCATTATTGGGCTCAGTGAAGTTTTTCGCAGAGCATAGTGCGACCATATGTGTCAAGGAGATACGTCATGCATGCACATATTGACATTTGGATTAGCGAGTGTTTTTTTTTTTTTTGGTTGTAGTAATACTGTAAGGAGCAATCTGTGCAGATTCTTTGGGATGATCCTTAGGAGCCACTTCTCTTTGATTAAAAGACCATGGCAGACAAACTGTTTGATGTAATTAAGCCCTCTGCCTATCAATCAAATCGTTTCTTTTTTTGTCTAATCAGTCGATTTGTTATTCACTGGGCACAGAGATCAACAACTTCACCTTTCAATTGCACCCTTTCTCCCTCGGAATGTCAAGATGCATCCACGAGATACAGAGGACTTTGCTAGATGAATGCTCATTATTAGGATATTAGACGGATAGAATGTGCACTGGACTCTCCTGCTCAGTGCTATACGACAAAATCAAAGCAACACATTCACAGCCCCCACAAAGTTATATTTGAGTCTCAGAGCCTGCTGGAGCCCTTAGAGTGATCGACAGCAGGATATCCCTGAAATCACTCATTCATGTTAAGAGGGTATCAGAGCAGATTCATTGTCCTCTTTATCTCTCCTAACTAATGGGTTATAACAAACCACATATAACTATACACATATTTTGTTTCTGCATTTTTTTAGTCACCAGACTCATCCATGTTTTTGTCAATTGCTTTTTTTTTTTTTTTTCCATTGCCTCTTTGAGAAGATCAGGTGCCAGGGATGTAAATGACTCATTTTGTTCCTTCCCAGAAAGAAGCAGCAACCCTCTGTCACTGAACCCCCTTTAATCAGGTGACTGTGGTCAAACTGCATCTTGGTTCAGAGACATTAGTCCTTGGGCAATAACTGACAAATTACAGAGGGCCAGAAGAGCACCACCAGAGTGAGCAGGCCAATTCTGGACTCAGCTGTGTAAAAAAAAAAAAAAAACATCCCTGAGAATTCAGATACACAGTATAATGGTACATTTCATTACAATTACATGACATGCAGATAGGGTAGCATGCAGCAGTAATTCCTCTCAATAAGTAGACTTATATTGATCTCTTTTTAAATGAAATTTAGTATCAGATTGGAAAAATTAAGTAAGGTCCACCAAGATTTTTGATCCTTATTTTCACCTGGCAACAAAAGACGGCATGCGTGAAATAGAGGTTAAAGTTTTCTATTAGACAGCATGATGAAATAGCCAGATTGAGCTATGCATACCATACAGCACAACAAATCTATTACCCTGCAAAATGGAGTGTAGGCAAAGGTTAATTGCCAGAGCACACACTTGAAATTTCCTGGTCAGGTGGCAAATGGTTCTTTATAAATTGAAGGAATTATGTCTCGAATAGGAAATTAAAACATCCATCTTACTTGCTCATTCTTAATTTCCTCCCTGGTTGATTTTACTAAAAGGATTTCAGGGCATAATTCAGACTTATTGGAAATGCATGAAATGAAATTTTGAATGACATCTTTTGAAATAAAAACGTTCCAATGTTGCTTTTGGTACTTGTGTAGGCTAGTGTTAGCACACAGGACAGAGTAAACCTGTTGCGGCATCCATGGCAACGAGTGCAAAAGCTGGCAGTAAAAAAGTCCAACACATTCATGCACTTGGATTAACAAGATCACAGAGGACAGTGCAACGCAGAACAAATAAGTACTTTTAAGACGAGGTGCAATGATGCTCTCATGGCGCACAGTTGCGCAACAGATTCAGTGCGCCGTGCGTAAACGATGCAAGCAGCTGCATCCTTACCTGTCGTCGGTCTGCCAGTCCCCGAGCAACAGGTCTCGGAACCGGTACCGTGGGGGCAGAGGGAGCACCTCCTTCTCCAATTCGACCATGCTTCTCCTCCTCCGAACCCCGAGACAGAGAAAGATTTCACCGATAAATGTACCTCCACGCAGAGAAGGTAGACCTCCCAAAACCAGCTCCGCTGCTCTTCCTTCGGCTATTTAGAACGTAGATAAAAAACGAAAACATTGATACACCTCATTGCATCGTCTACGACCTCCCTTTAAAACAGAAAAAAATCAACTTCTTTTCCTTGGCACCCTCACAATACAGCTCTAGTTTTCTTCTCGCAGAGGCAACAGGTCGGGGATGTTCATCCTTCGGTGCGTTGGGGAGGCTCCACTTTTCCTGTGACTGCTGGGAAGCAACTGGTTGTCTCTCTCAACACCAGCATCCTTCCTGCCTGAGCTACGCATGGACGCACTGGCTGCCAATATGTCACCAAGCGATGGGGACTAAAGTAGCCTATACTCCTCATATCAGGAATAACTACAAAGTAGAAAGTGCAGAAACAAATATATATTTTACAATAAGAGCCCAACAGAACTGCGCCATATCAGGGGCACAATATACATTTCTCTAAAAGATTGAATGAGATAAGACTTGCACAAATACTGCACGCAACGCAGAGTTGAAACGAGACTTGTATTTTTTGAATGAAGATCTGGTTTGGTCCTATTCACTTTCATGTAGTTTAAGATTCTTAGAGCCTGCTAAGGAGGAACATGTTAGGAATGATCTTTGCTGAAAAGGACACAAGACCACGTCCAATTTATGTAGTGCACGCTTGCCAACTGAGTTCTGAAAGCTGTTCTCTCACCAAGCACACACTAAATATAACCAAACAACACAGTCAATGCTGAAGATTTGCCAGAAAATAAAACAACCTTTCCTTGAGAGAATGTAGGAGCCACAATTCTCTAATAGTTTTAAGACAAAACACAATCATCACATGGCTTAAAAACTTTTAAGTTCCAATAAATGTGGGCTGTATTAAATAAAAACACAAAATGTCACCATGAACCTCATATCATCACAGCATAATTCTCCCTTTAAATGTTGTAGTTACTGTAACTCATCAAAGCACCTGTAACCAGCTCTTACTGTGCACCGAACAAACAATGTCTCTCAATATTAGCAAGCTGCCACTCATTATATGTCACAGGTTAAATCCTGTAGTGCCCGTGGTTAGAGCAAAAGCATAATGAAATTCAACTATGGTGCTTAAGAGGGACTGTTGACTCAAAGCCACAGACAACAGGTGTTATGCAAATTAACTCACAATATTAATATTAATCACCCACAACTGAGCCTGGATAAAGCTGCAGCACCTCTGTAAGCTCCAAACAAAACCCTCTAGCAGGGGGTCAAAGATTACTGTCAGCTGAACTGATGAGAAAAATAGGATATTAATAATAATAAGAGTAATTATTTTTGTTCCTACTTAGATGTGGGCTGACTGTGAACTAAAATATGTTTTTGTGTCAACATATGTTTCACCTCTTGCACCTAGTCTTTGTGTAATTGTTGCCATCTTTACATAGTTACATAGTTACTATTTAACCTCCATAGAAACTGAACTATAGTTTAAACTCAGACAGCGTACTGTTTAATCCAGTTCTACAGTCGGACTGTAGTTTTGTCTATTTTGCCCTCTTGTGGTCAAAATTACACAAGCACCCAATCAGCAGTGAGCTAGATCCATTGATCTCTTGAAACAGCTGACTGATAAATAATAGTATGTTTCAATATAGGTTAAAACGCCAGCATACAAATACATTTATTAATCTTGTGCCTTTGGGGGGGAAAAATAATTCTATGACGCCCTAAGGCACAACATGTTACAAAGAGGTTGTCAGGAAGGCAAAACATTTCATTTCAAGTGGGTGGGCCAAGCTGGGTAGCCATGGTAACAACAAAAAATTGTCTGAGCATATCAGAGGAGACAGTTCATGTGATTCAAACCTCATTTGAACCCCATTCAGTCTCACATTATCATAATGTGTTCTCGGAGGACAATCTGCACAGGGTAAGAAGAGCAGGCTTGATGCAAAAGACAATCCGGCTCCATAGTTCAACAGACATTCTCCTTTTAGCAAAAAAAAAGTGTAAAACGCATTTACAAATGTAAACAAATAGTAGAAAATGATCATACATTAAAAAAAAAAGAAGTTTTTTTTAAATATTTAAAATCTTCCAGTCTGTGACATGATCTCCATTTAGAGCAGACATTTGCCTTCCTGGCTCTATTCCAAAGTAATGTTGACGGAGGCGAGAGCATCCACAGCCCAGCCGGGGTACTGGTCCCGAGAGGGAAACATCCGCTTCATGAAAGCCCGTATAAAGTCAGGGAAACCACCCTCCACAATGCTCTGTCTCACAGAGCGCATCAGGTTGAGCTGCGAAGAGAAAAGTTTTTTTTGAATCAGAGAAATAAAGTGTAATTGACCTCTCCAACATTTAGAGAGTGGAGATCACTATATTTAGAGTTTACAGTTAAAATGTTAACACGCTAATTTTGACCATCATAAAGGTTAACATGTAAATGTTGCACACACATGAAATAAGTCATTGCATTTCACTGGGGATCAAAGTGGTAGAGAGACTGCTCAGCAGACCGAAAACCAAAGCTCCATGCTAGCGTGGCTAAATGGGACAAGACATCATTAAACTAATATGTTGAATAATCAGAAATGATGTGTCTTACTTCATTAACAAGAGCATAATGTTATAGGACGTATCTGTCACAAACTAAGGCGGTTATTGTTTTGATAATGCCAGAGTGGCAAAGCAAGTTTGTGGTACAGCGTACAACAACACACTGTTCAAGAAATGGGGCGAGAATTTATGTGGTGTAGTGTTTGATGTCGCATTAACAACACCGCCGTCCTCATTCATGCACGGCCTGCTCCGACCTCCACCTCAGCGGCAAAGAAAGTGTGGACAACAGGAGGACTACAAAGGAGAAATCCTTCCTGCATCTCATCCCATCTCCCCCATCCAATTTTTCTATTATAACATAACAAAGAGTAAGGTATTTTACCTGCTCTTTGAAAAGCGTCTCGAGAAAACATTTGTTATGAATTGGCGCAATACAAATAATGGTTGATTGACTGATTTGTTTGAGCAATTTGCCTCTGAAATAAATGATGTAACATGAGATAGGTTTATTTTTATGTGGCAATATTGAAGAGAAAAGTAATGAACTGCTCCTTTAATGTTAATAGAAAGACATCAAATAATAATGTGAAAAATCAAAGTCTTTAGAATTAAAGGTTAAAAAAAGATTTATTTAATCTGTATTTGGCTTCAGGTTTTTCAAAGGTTATTAGCTGTGCTGACGGTTTATCTTGATTTAACAATGATTTAATCTGGCTTTGTCTCAATGTATGTCAGTCTGGATAAATAAAGTTGTCTGAGTCATTTACATCTTTTCGATTCAACACTGAATGTCCAGGTGACCAGGTTTTCTTTTGTAGTAGTTTTTGATCTTGGTGGCCATGCCGGCTTGCATAATGAAAGGCGGCTGTGGCTCAGTTAGAAGGTCAACCGGAAGGTCGAGGATTCGATCCCCAGCTCCAGCAGCAACATGTCTGATGTATCCCAGAGCAAGCACTTAACCCAGAATTGCTCCCGCTGCTTCATCAGTGGCAGCATTTACCATTTCACACAGGTTTATTCAGGATAAATTCTACTTTTGTTTAACAACAGTGAAAGTTAAAAGGAGTGCATCGAAAACTCTTAAAACCTGTTATTCCGCTCTAGTTACTTCTGAGATCGCTTTCAGTGAATATACTCTGTCGAGCAGTTCAATGCTTTTGTTATTTCAGGTAAACTGTATCTTGACATTTCTAATACTGACCTGGTAGGCGATGTTGTGGATGGTGATGTGATGCATGGCTGCAGTGTCACTCTTAAAAAGAGCATGAAGGTAAGCCCGACTGTGTCTGGAACAGAGAAGTGTAATAATACTTAAAACATTTTACAGTGACAGAGTTTTGCAATAAGGTACAAATTAAACAGCAGGCTCATACACTGGCACTCAACTGCAGCAAAATCTGCCAATTACATATTGAAATACCTAAATCACAATGATTGGTTTATGCCCAGCATTCCCCTCTGTTAGATCAGAAATAAGGGATAAGCTTGCTGGGTAAAAACATCTTTATTGGCTCTTCTTGGAAACTACACTGACCTCCAGGCTCACTGTTTTTTTTCTTGACTTACCTCTTGCAGGTGGGACACTGGCAGTCTGGGTCTATTGGCCCCAAGTCCTTTGCATACTGCTTTTGTTTTACCTGGAGGGATCCCCAAGGCACCAAGGCAGAGCCAAACCTCTGATTGAGAAAAACACTATGTTCAGAGACACATTGATATCAGACACACGGCTTAGAATAAAATCAAGTGTGTGAGGTGAAAGAGCTTACTGCAGTGCGGGTAGGAAATACGCAGTCAAACATATCACATCCCAGAGCTACACACACCACCAAGTCCACGGCATACCTGCAGCACATGAGGAACAACCCCGATGTTCATTAGTCAATTCTAAAACCAGAGAGTTCTCATCAATCATCTTTGGCATGTGGGAAAACATACCCCACACCCATGAGGTAGCGGGGCTTTTCCCGAGGTAGGTGGTCAGTGCTTAGTGTGACCATCCGCCAGAAGTCATCTTTCTCCTCTCCTCCACTCAGGCCGCCGATCGCAAAACCAGGAACATCGCGTTTAGTCATCTCTAAAAAGAGGGGATGAAACACTTGAAAACACAAGTCCTAATCACTGTTAAACATTTGAAAACTGGCTGCATTCACAATAAAACCTGATTTTAAAATGTGTCTACTTATTGTCTTGGCCCGTATCTCTGCACAGTATTTACACTTTAACTTTGGAAGTGATTAAGTGAATGTGTTGTATTTCTTCATTACTTGTAGGGCTGGGCGATACATCAATTAAATTGATAAATAGTATTTAAATCAAGATTTTCTCGAAAACTTTCTCTGCCGCTTCCCTTGGGCCAAAATACTCCCCCATTATTTACTTACTATTTTGCTGTACATTTCATTAATCATTGAAGGGAAATTCAGGTTTGCTTTACTTTCTTTTTATTGATTAAATGAGACCAAAACTTGTTCTTAGTCGTTTTGTTTTTGTTTTTTTTAGAAGAAAGAAATCGACTAAAACTTTAAATCGAGTGTGGTGTGAAAAAAATCTGTGGTTTTATTTTCCGGCCTTATCGTCCAGCCCTAGATTTGTCACATTTTGAAACTTTACACAAGCTTTCAAGGTAGTAAACCTTCACATCATCTGTAAACTTCACATATAATTCCTCATTTTACTGATATGTAAAACCCTGTTAAAACTCTTCTATAAATTAAAGGAAACACATGACATTAACCAGGTGCTGAAATGACAGTAGACAGGGAGGGACAAAGGAACCAGACAAAGTAGGATGTTGTTTTTACCATCTAGACAGGCTTTGCGCAGCTCTGCATTTAGTCCTCCTTGGATGATGGCAAACAGATTCTGTTTGTCTGGATTTTTATTGGCTGCTATGCAGCGGTCAAGCCAGCGAATTGATCTGTGCATAGCTTCCTCCACCCGAGGTCCTGTCACAGTACTACTGACCACATCATCCAGCTGCATCATGATGTCAGACCCTGAAAGTAAACCACAGAGAAGCTGTCTTTTAGTCACAATTTAGGTGAAGCTCCAAGTCTTTGTATCTTAATTCTGATTCAAAAGTATGTTACTACATTCTGACCTAGACTGTTCTGTATGCTGATGGATTTCTCAGGACTTAGGAGGATCTCTTTGCCATCGTAGGGGGACTTAAACTTGACCCCTTCCTCAGTGACTTCTGAGAGTTCAACAAGGGACACCATCTGAAACCCCCCGCTGTCCTGTAAACAGAGGAAAGATTCCAACAAAATCTCGTCACTTACCTCTTAAAATGATCTGAATACAAAACACCATCCCATGCATTCAACTCCATGGTTGCCTAGTATATTGATTAATTGAGAAAACATATACTCACAGTTAAAAGATTCCTCTTCCAGTTCATAAACCCATGCAAGCCATTAGCTTTTTCGATTAACTCGGGTCCCTGTGGGCATAATGTTGAATTGGAAAGAAGAAAAGTTATCGTGCTTTCTTTATAGCCTAATCAAAGTCCATGTATTCATGTGAAAAGCAGAATTTGTATAGTATTTATGTTACAGTGTTGCCTACCGGTCTCATTCCTAGATGGTAAGTGTTTCCAAGACAAATCTGACATCCCAGACCCTCCAGCTGATCCACAGTGATTCCCTTCAGAGTCCCCTGGGTACCGACAGGCATGAAAACAGGGGTACTGACCGCACAGTGTGGCAGTATTAAGTCACAAACTCTTGCTTTAGTTACTGGACATTCAGCAACTATTCTCAGAGAGAGGGGAGACGCTGCACACACAGCTTTCTGTAAGGACATGTTGTTTTCTGAACCAGCTCCACACTCTATGGTGGCAGCCATGTTGCAGTCAACATGTGACGTGAGGAGCTCAAACTGATAATCGGTTTGACCAATCAAAGACGAGAACACGCCTTTTAGAGAGCCAATCAGAGTGTGAGGTGGCTTGATAGACAGCAAATGTAGCCAATAGCAAACCTGTTTTTCTGTAGACAAGAGGCGGGTCTATTTTCGCCGGTTTCGATCGGATGTCGTCTCCCCGGACCGGATGGTGTTCGTGTAGAGGAAGTTTTGTTTTGCGAGTTTTCCGTCCGATACGGCTGACTGAGTGTTTAGCTTAAGCTCTAAAGAGAACACGAAATGGTAGTAGTGTGAACTTAATAACGGGCAACCGCACAAGTGTTGACGGAGAGCATAAAAGCTCGAGGTGTTGAAGCGGCGGAAGTCAACACTTCAGAGTAACACGAGAGCACCTTGCTGCTAAGCTAGCGTTAGCTTCTGGTTTGCGCTGTGTTGAAGGGGCTCTCTGAGCTAACGAAGCCATGGGGAACCGGGGCATGGAAGACCTGATTCCCCTGATCAACAAGCTTCAAGACGCTTTCAGCTCCATTGGCCAAAGTTGCAATTTAGACCTTCCCCAGATTGCTGTGGTTGGAGGACAGAGTGCTGGGAAAAGCTCAGTCTTGGAAAATTTTGTTGGCAGGTAAGTGCTTGTCATTATTATCATCTCTTAGCAAACAATTTACTAGCAATCAGTTTATTGTTTTTAAAATGCTCACCACCTAGCTAAGCTAACGGTAGTTATTGTATTATTCATCAATGTACTCCACCTGTATTATTGTATTATAGTATGTTCATGTAACCTCAATAAGTTATCGACCTGTAAAATATGTCCATATTCTGTATATTATCTGTAATCTAGTATAGCATGCTCACTGCACCTTAATCTGTATATTATAATCCGAAGAATACACTTATATTTATAGCATTTATTTATATTTATAGCATCCCATTAATCCAGCCATATATACCTAATAATTCACTTTTTTTAGTCTACATCTGTAAATTCTGTAATTACTGTACATAGCACAGACTCTTGCACTTCCTGCTTATTTGCACTTCTGGTGAGATGTCAAACCTCATTTCGTTACTCTATACTTGTATATGTGTAATGACAATAAAGTTGAATCTCATCTCATCAGTAGTAAGTTCGGCATCTGTCCTCATCGTGTATGTGCTGCAGGTTCAAAAACTCGATGTCATACGCGTTTTACGTAGCAAAACAGTGAGCTATTTCTGTAACATCGTGGCTCTATCAACCTGTATGACACAAACCATCCCTGAAAATGACATCAGCTGATGGACGTAAAGTCCATTGCCGCACCTTTTTTTAGTTAATAGCAGTGTGCACCTGACAGAAGTTATGCAAGGGAACGTCTTCCTGTGGTTTTATTTACATTTCCATGTCACTCCCAAAACTTCCTCCATGATTTGCATTTGCCTGTAATTATTTATATATATCACTGACAGATGTTGATTTGAGTTGTATTGTACTAAATAGAAGTTTGTTGTTAGATAAGCATGTGTATTCTGTCAGATGTGGAACTAATGACGTGTTATTTGGTAGGCCAGCAGAGAGGAAGAGTGAGCTGTGTCCTTTCCTTAGAGCTTTGGGTATTTGAAGCTGGATGTGTTAAAGAGCCATTTTTATGATCTATCCCTCATTGCTTAAAACCATTTGTCAAACAGAACAAGTTCACATCTGTAGCAGACAGCACTTCCTGTACATTCTTCCTGTTTTGAAACTGATTTAGACCAAACTCTAGAATTTGGGAAATAGGTTTGATGTTTCTCAAGGGTTAGGGGTCTAGCAGCAGCTCTCCTCAACAGGCTGATCCTGTCTTCCCACATCAGCAGTGAGGAAGATCACCCTGCAGATAAAGAAACAAAACAAGACTGCTCCAAAGCAGCTTGTTTAACAGGTTTCCTCCCCATAGAGCTGTGTGTGTGTTTGTGTGTGTTTGTAACCCAACCCATACTGGTATCGCACAATCACACGTGCACACAGACTAGCCAGCAGAGAAGTGGAAGTATGTAGGCTATTAAAATGGCATGCAGACAGGCCTTTGGTTAAAAACACAATAGGAAGAGCATGTCGTAACAGCTCAGCAGACATGAACATACTCACACTCACAGATTAGACTACCATTGAATTCACATTAATGTGGATTAGAATTTTACACTGTGAGAGCACTAATAATAATAATATCTTTATTTATATCACACCTTTAAAAACAAATGTTTACAAAGTGCTGTGACAGACAGATACAGCAAAAACACAACAGAACAGAGATCAACAGAGAGGGCAAAATTGTAAAAATGCAAATAAGAGGAATGATATGGAGTCAACAGGCAGGTATGGAGAGGCATTTCAGTACAGTGAAGGAAAATTAGTTTAAAATCAATCAGGAGAGAACAAAATTAAAATTGAGGGAGCGTGGGACAACATCACTTTACACTTGGTGTAAAGTTTGATTACTGAGACTTGTACGATGTAATTTCATTGCTGTCCCCTTTCTGCCTGTAGACTGTGCTAAGATACGCCCAGTTTCTAAAAAGTTACACAAGCACTTTGCACAAAAGCTGAGGCATTCACACTTGTACATGCTCATCCTGTTATGAAGTATGTGTGTGGTGTGTTAAGCTTTCTTTGTATCAGACCAATAGAAGTGCATCTGTGTTGCCACTGTGCAGGTGAATTTATACCTACCGAACATTAGCTATAGCTTAAAACTCTCAGTGCAACGCATCAGTTTCATGTTTTGTATTGAAACTGTGTTAGATTGCATTGTCCCTGACTCCCTATTAAATAAAAATAAACTCAATTCAAATCAGGACAGGTGAAGTCACACTTACAAGGTGGAGTCTTAATTCAGCCTTGAACACTTGGGAGGTGCTGTATATCACTATAACAACAGGCGTGTTCATGTTGAGATGACACATTGTTTGGGCTTCTTTGAGCCCAGGAGCTGATCAATATCTTAAACAAGTTACTTGAATTTTAGTTCACACTTATACAAAAACGATTTCGCTGTGCGCCAATTTACACAATGAGCACAGACCGAGCTACTGTTACCATCAGTAGGTTTTCTACTGTGAGGTGAGGTCTATGTTGTGTGTGAAAGGCTGGCTTCATTCTCTTGTCCCCAAGCATGAAAATTAAAACCTCTTTCCCTTTTGCACTTTTGCACTTTTACACGGCCCTAGAAATTCAAATAGAGTCAGTTTGTGCCTTGAAAGACAATTTTCAGACCACAGACTTGAGTAGAAATGCTCCTCCTATCTTCACTTTGAACCCACAGCTGATGTCGTGACGTGATATGGATGCCATGGGATTTCACTTACCTCATCAGGCACATGTTTAGTTGTCTCAGTATCTTTGTTTGTGTTTACTCGGTTTCTGCTTTACATTTCCTGGTTGTAAGTGAATAGTTAAAGTAGGACAAGACCACATTATCAGTGGAGTTACTCCAGTCCTGATAATCAGCTCAGGCAGTCAGGTGGGATTGTGATCTCTCTCCGTGCTTCTCAGCCTATCTTTTTGATTCGTTTCATGCCTTTTTCTATTAAACTTTCTCATTGGAGAGACCAAATTACACTGGCTGGCTGGTCTGCATATTTGCTGGACAGAAGTTAATCAAATCACTCTGTCTCATCAGCCTCATGTTTCTGTGAACATTTCTGTCGTCTGTATTCTACTCTGTTCGGTGTGTTTGTGAATATGTTGTCGGCTTGTTTAACTACAACCTATTGCAGGGCCTTACTTTTGGCGGTTGTCCATTATTGGCTGGGTTGTGAGGTCTTTGTCCCAGTCAGGAGCAAAGAGTTCATATCTAGTACTGCAAGCTGGCTTGGGTGGAGGTTGTTATCAAATTTGTGGTTAGTAGTCTACAATGATAGCAGGGGCTTTTCAAGTGTTCAAACAGAGGCAAGAAGATGCTATGTTAGCATATTTTAAACCTATTAGATGACTGTTGTTGCTATATTAATTTCTGCCATCTCTGTTTGAGGCGTTGAACCTACTTCAGGATGGTGGTGAAAATATATTTTTGTGCATTTGAACAGAAATGGCTGCCAGTCTGTAAGCTAGATTGTCTGCAGAAAAGAACACATGACTGTGAAGAAAAAGTAGACAGCCAAATGCCAAGAGTAAAGGGATTTTCCACTAAGCAATTGGATTTTGGTAGTGTTTGAAGAGGATTTTCTCCCAGATGATGCCTCTTGGTACCCACAGTGACAGACTGTAGTGCGGGAATGCGGATAGCCATAATTATATGTTCATTGCTACACCAAAGACCCTTGGGAGGAGTCCCACCAAACCACAAACAAACTTTTGTCTACTATACCCTCCCTTGAGAGCATTCTGTGACCTCAGAGTTTCACACGTTGCTTTCCATGTTTGAAAACGAGCCCTGCCCAGGCCTCTGTCTGTGGAGGAAGAGGAGGATCAGCTGTGGCTCCTCAGACTTGCTCTGAAAGAGGCAGAGGCTGCAGGGGCAAAGAGGCAGGGGGAGGGGATTTGGCTCTACTGTTCTCTGCCCTACTCTCCCTTTGCTTTTGCTTTCTCTTGTGTTAGAGGGAGGGAGGCTCACAGACTGATGCTCTTTGCTTGGCTATTCATAATGCATGAAATGATACACAATCTGCTCGGCCTCGTCTATCATTTACAGCGCATCAATAATGAATCCTCGCCTCTTGCTTCTCTTCAATATGCCACTGCTGCTTATCTGATTCTGGTGATTGAGACTGAATGGTTCAATTCTGCACTGGTGATATAGCCTCTTGGGATAGAGCTTTTCAGAATATGACTCCTGGTCCTTCTTTTACAGAAAATATGAAAATGCTTTTATTTATTGCTCTGAACTCTTGCCAGTAGCCACTTGTTGAGCTAGTGAGCTGGCATTTGATTGATGAGAATCCAAAAAGGGTTGCCTAACTTGCCTATAACTGGAGAGGTGCATCTTTATGAGCAGTTTCTAAAAGGTTGTTTCTAGTTGTTACCGGTACTTCGCACACATTACCATCATTTTCCAAATGTGAGTTTAGTTTTTCCCTTCCCTCAACCTATAGCTGTTTTTTTTATCCCCTGAACCCCTACCCTCTGTTCCTCATCCAGACGTTTCCATACTGTGGCCATGTGGACAAATGCCTGCATGCTTCACATTATGTGCATGACACAGCAACAGTGCTGACCCACAGACTTGTTGTTTTTTGCTGATGTAAGGAACTTCCTGAACATTCCCACTGTTTGACCACAGGACTACAGTCTAGGAATTGCCGGCACTAGTAGTATGACAGCTCCTCTCTCTTCTTCTCCTGCCCTGTGGTTGACACATTGCGTCCAGTCTAAAGTCAGCAAGTATGTTGAGCTCTGCCATAAACCTTTTTCACACATACGGAAATCTCCTGAAAAACTCCGGAGATTTGGCTACCAGGAGGTTCTTTAGGCTATGTGTGAACGCAAACAGCCACGTTTTTCGCGCGGACTTTACCCAGAGTTTATCCGGCCAGACCCCTAGTATTTTATCCGCAGAATATCCGAGTGAGCTGATGTCTGAACGCGGTAGCATATACTCCGGAGATTTTCAGCCAATGAAAAGAGAATGACGTTTATATACAGTGACTGGCTAAAGTGTCTGCACGCGACCAATACGATCTCCGTGCACGTGATTAAATGGCTGCATTCTGTTTTCTGTTGGTCAGTATGTTGTTCTCCTCTCTTTAGTGGATGTTGTCATTCCATTGGATTACACATAGCATTGATATAAAGGCAAATATTCCCATTATAACGTTGTGTAGCGGACTCTGTTGCTACGGCCGCTACTTCTGCGTTGTTTATTTACGGATAATATCGTCGGGAAATCCCCCACGCCCCCTCCCCTCTGACAGAGAAGGTCCCCCGCTGTGAGGAGCATATGTGAACGACTAGTTCGGGAGAATGTCTGGAGAAGTCCTCCTTTAAATATCTAGATATTATCCGGAGTGCATATGTGAAAACGGCTATATAGTCCCTTCAGGACTATAGGTATAGAAGTATGGAAGAAAATGCGAACGTTGGTTAGTGACATGCTCAGTCTCTGCATTGATCTTTCCAGGAGTGGGGCTGGTGATTGCCACCAGATGTAGTATGTTTGCAGAGCAGCAGAGAGGCCTTCTGAATGGGGAGAGGAGGGAAGAAGGCTGGGTGGGTGGGAGAGCCTCATCTAAAGGAGGGCTGACTAAGCAACTTTGGCTGTGTGGTTAAAAATTCCTCAGGCATCCTGTCACTTTAAGAGAAACAAACCAGTAGACTGTGAGAAAAGGTTGTCATTGATTCTTGTAGGCCTGTGTGTTAACAATGCACTGTCGCACCAAAAGCATTCAATGTTGTTTGTTTGTTGTTTGTGTCATGCTTGTGTAATGCATGATATTGTGTAATTAAGTAGCATACTGCATGTTTTCTCAGTTGAAGTTAGACACCTATTGTAGTGAATGTTATGGTGGCAATATCTCCTGTATTGACACAGCCCAGGGCCAGGCTTACACAAACACCACGGCCAGCTGAAACTAAGGGATGGGCCTGTCCTTCAAACAAGCAATAAATGAGGTAGTGTAATTGTTCAACAATGAACAAGTTTTCAACAGACATGTTCTGATGCCATTTTTTACATCCCAATATGTCTTATGTTCATAAATGATCTCGTAAATTAATGTATCAGATCAGTACATTGAATGATTTACTTGGTAATATCTTGTACTGCGTTGATGTTAGTGATGTTGGAGCAACTGAAGATTAAAATAACAGATATGTCAATATAAAAACACAAAGAATTATCTACAAATGGTAAATCCACCCTCAGTCCGATTTTATTTTCTGCTCATTATATGCTGATCGCCTTAAGTTATTTATTTTCCATGGTGTTTTTCTTTTTTTGCGGGGGGGGCTTTTTGCCTTTTTGCAGCTGAAGAGAGACGGGAAATGTTGGGGGGGGGGAGCTGTTTGGAGATTTTCCCTTTGTGACATCACAATTGGAAGTAACCCCTCCCCCAGCTGGGTGACACTCCCACAGCAAGGTGTTAGTTCTTCCTGAGTCTGCCTTTCCACTGTAAACTATAGGGCATAGTGTAAGCCAGAGCTACCAAGCCCTTACAGAGGAGCTGGTTGAACACAGATCACTTACATTTAAAGCTATAGACACAGAAACAGCCTGTTCTGAGCAGGGCTGTGAAGAGGGGTTTATAGGCATGATCAGATACAGGATGAGAGTGGAAGAAACTTAACAGACATGTTCTGGAGTCCTCTGAGATTAATTTAAACTTGTTCAAAAGGAGTACAATATGTGACCTTTTAGTAAAATGGTACTGCGTGAAATTCTCTGGGTAAAGCAGAGGCAAAAAGTGTGTAAAGGCAACAATATGTAACTTTTTCACCTTTAAATGTTAGTTTCAAAGGTCATTAGCACAATACATTTCAAGGCCTGGTTACTGCAGTGTGTAACTTTTGCAGCAGGTCAAGGTCACCTTGTGAGATATGCGTACTGCTTCACAGCACCAGTTCACACACAAGCCTTCAGTTTAATAAAAAGTAATAATCTTGTGAGAGTCTTCAATTCAGCTATGTCCTCAAAGGCTGATTAAGATGCAGCTATGACTCGACTGAGAGTCATGATGATCAGTTAATTGTTTTAAGATGATATGAGCTTATGAGAGTCATAACCACCATGTGGGTGGAAAGTGTGAGTTTCATTTTGTGCACAGATGAACACATGTTAATGCGTGACCCCTCTGACCTCTTCCTTCCCTCCGCATGAGTGCAGAGAAAGATGTTTATAAGTCACTGTGTTTTCAGTTTGTTGTATCTTCTCACTGAATCTGTGGGATTTGAAGTTTCCTATCTTACCTGTGTTTTAATTGTCAGATGTCTGGGTTGTATTAAGTTGCTACTGCTGAACACACCCTATTTCCTGATGTGACTGTTTCACAATAAAAACATTTCAAGGATATTGTAATTGGGGGCTTTTATTCTGAATAACTTGTCGAAAAAAGAATGCGTTATTAGCGAATTCACAGATATATTTTCTCCACAAATGTTTTTTTTAAATGTTATCTCTGGTGGTCTTGTAGAGTTTCGCATCTCTGTCAGTGATGATTGAACAGCTCAGAATAGTGTACCCTGGCTATAAAGTTCACCTAAGAAATCCTTAAATCCACACCCCTGTGAGATGTTAACCAGTAAATTAGAGGCCAAGGAGAGAAGGTGAAGATTCAGGAACGGTAGAAAACACATTTACAAAAGTAAAACACACATCCTCTGAGATGTGCGTTTGGTATGTTTTGGTTGAGATATCAAATTAAAATAAAGTTTATTTAAATTTAGGCCTTTAGGCTGGCATTTACAGTTGATTGTTATGATGTCATCACTACAAAGTTTGATAGTATTTCTGATTGTAGTCTGTTTTTCCATTAGAGATTAGTATATAACAATAAAAGTGAACGATTATAAAGATTCATCTGTGAATGGAGTTTTATTGTGGTACAGACTCAGTAACAGTAACAGCAGTAACAGCAGAGTGGGTGTTCATGAATTTCTCCCTAACGCTTTAATGATGAGATAAAATGACCGTGTCACATTTGATTTGTTGCAAGACTAGTTGGAGGCGTGAAATTCCCCCGTGTCTATCAATCTAGCAGACGCCGCGCTGCACAGAAATGGACATTGAGTGTAATGAATCATTGAACATTCTTTCTTTCTATCTCTTTCTCTCTTTGTGTTGTTTCTTTTTGTCCTAAACCAACCTGTTTTAATCCCAATGCCCCCCCCCACCCTTTTTCGATTTATTTTCGTTTTCATTCTTTACTCTCAACAATTCTGGTTTTTGTCCTCAACATGTTGTTTCTCTCTCTCTCTCTCTCAGGGACTTTCTTCCACGTGGATCAGGCATTGTTACCCGCAGACCTCTCATTTTGCAGCTGGTCAACAATAAAGCAGGTGAGTTTCCACATCCTGTGCACAGCCGCCTCAAAGTCCACTGTCATGTCTGCTCTGTCTCTGTCTCAGTGCCTCCAGCTAGGATCACTGCCTGCTATTTGTAACCTCCATCTTTTAATTTATTATTATATTATTTATATCTCCCTCCTGCCTGATTGTTCTGTCTCCTTGTCTTTCTCTCCCTCTAATCTTTACACTCCTCTCGTGTACATCATTCTTCTCCTCTGTCTAGAATATGCTGAATTCCTGCACTGCAAAGGGAAGAAGTTTGTGGACTTCGATGAGGTGCGGTCAGAAATTGAGGCCGAGACCGAAAGGATAACGGGCTCCAACAAAGGAATCTCCCCCATCCCAATTAACCTGAGGGTCTACTCCCCAAACGGTAAAGACTCACAAGTCTCATCCTAAAACACACACCATATTGTTTTAACCATAACAGATTTTATTTTCTTATTCTTATAATTATCTGGTTGTCTTAAGCCCTGTATATGACTGTGTAAATCAATATGATGATTATCCTAAAATGTAATATAATGTAATCCTGGCATCTGATTAACCAGGAAGAACAATTTTCCATTGAACTTCGAGTCAATATTTTATATATAAATACATTTACGTATTAAATGTACTTTTTCCCAATATAAAGGATTTTTTCAGTATTGCAAACAGCACAGACGGTGTCCTATATAAATGTTTCTTTCTGTTTCCAATATTTTTTTTTCATAATCTTTAAATGTACAATATGTAGAATTTCTACACTAAAATATTTAAATTAATAAAAAATTGACTTAACCTATATTATGTATTATTTGTTGAGTACTTTCACTAACTCAAATATTTCCAACACTTATGTAAGAAATCCTTAATTTTATAGTTGTAACAGGACGTGTCTTGTTGTGGCCGCCGCCATTACAGACACGTTTTTTTTTTGTTGCCATGGAAACACTGGATGCTACGTCAAATCCCCACCCGCCTCAACTACATATTTTGTGATAGTTTTGATTGAGAGCCCCCTGGTGGTGGAATGTAAACACTGGGCGTTTAAGATATTTGTAAACACAATGTTGTGGTAAAACATTCACACACTAAGAGGTGGTAATACATTTCTAACTCCTTTTATAAAACATCATTGAATGTCTGTCAAAAACATGTATTTATTCTTTGTGAGACCCGTCTCATGAAATTCTGAAATCCAAACATATCTGACATTTTCATGTTTATCTCTTTCAGTAGATGTGACACTTGGAAGCACAAAAACTCAGCGGGTGTTTCTCTTTCTATAAAGTTAACGACAAATATAACTTTGATTCACAACGGAGCGTTCTCCTACCCTCACCCACATTGGTTAGCATGTTAAATTGTGGGGGATAGCTGTGAGGTCGGTTGATGTTTTTATGAACAGGGAGGAAAAGTAAGTTGACTTGTTCATAAATAACTCTAGGCTGTCTGTCTCAGCTTGCCGTGTAGAAAACATCTCTCTGGATAAGCTCTGTTTTTTTCCTGGATGGTGATGTGCCATTTCTTTGAAAATACACATGATAACACTAACATTATTTCTCTCCAATCTATCACTACCTGGGTAATGAGGTCACATCATTATGAATGTGCATCCAGGTAATGATGTGTTGAATTGAACTGTAAACATATCTATGTTTAAAAGTCATGATAATGAACACATAACTGGAATAAACAAGGAAATCTTGTCAGGATATTTTCATGCTTTTAGTTGTTCACTTCTTCAGGAAATTCTTCACTCTGGAAGCCAAACATAATTTTTCCTTTTTTTGCATGTTTCTCATCATCATTTCTTCTGTCCTCAGTGCTGAACCTGACCCTGATCGACCTCCCGGGCATGACTAAGGTTGCTGTGGGAGATCAGCCTTTAGACATCGAGCACCAGATCAGGGACATGCTCATGCAGTTCATCACCAAGGAGAGCTGTCTGATCCTTGCCGTCACCCCTGCTAACACCGATCTGGCCAACTCAGACGCACTCAAGATCGCCAAGGAGGTGGACCCGCAGGGTGAGCACGTCGCTTTCTGTTAGAGCAGAGGTTAAAAAGCAGCTCTAACAGATTGATGAACGCACTGCTTAATTTTCATATCATTTAAGATGAAACAGGAAAATCTTATTCAAAACTGCACGTTATTTCCATTACATTGCTGTTTTAAGTAAATTGTATACTCTATCATTATTATTATGATAATATTATAATACCATTAGTTATGCAGGTAAAAAAGTTGTTTCAAATTGAAATAGTTACACACTTTGTGCAGGTATGCGAACCATTGGAGTTTTAACAAAACTGGACTTGATGGACGAAGGGACGGACGCAAAGGACATCCTGGAAAATAAACTTTTGCCACTTCGTAGAGGTGAGGATTTACACACAAGTATTCCTGGTTTTATTTTTGGCCTGAGATTGAGAATTTCTACTGGTGTGTGCAGGCTACATTGGTGTGGTGAACCGCAGTCAGAAAGACATTGATGGGAGGAAGGACATTCGTGCTGCACTGGCTGCAGAGAGAAAGTTCTTCCTGTCCCACCCTGCCTACAGACACATTGCAGAGCGTATGGGCACACCCCATCTACAAAAGGCACTCAACCAGGTCTGGTATCAATTAGTATTGAGCATTACCACCTCCCCACCATCGCATTGATTCTCTGAAATGAACAGAACTTTCTCTCTGTGTCTTAGCAATTAACCAACCACATCAGGGACACCCTGCCTGGTCTGCGCAGTAAGCTGCAGAGTCAGCTCCTCTCTCTGGAGAAAGAGGTGGAGGAGTACAAGAACTTCCGTCCGGATGATCCAACACGCAAGACCAAGGCCTTGTTGCAGTGAGTGTACATGAATGTTACATTTCATAACAATCTGCCATTCAGAATTTACAATAGCTTGATTAATGGAAAGCCTAATAATTAAGCTAAAACACGTTATTGTGTCGACGTGAGCAGCTCCTGACCACCTCACATTCATTGTTTTAAAGAGAAGGGGCTTCAGAGATGAGATGGGTAACTATAACAGTTACAGTTTGGGGTGCAGTAGATCACAAATCTCCGATTGAGTCACAGATCAGATCTGATTTGTCTATATAATGAAAATGGCTAGTTTTTCATCAACTAGCACAAGCTATCAGTTTCCGGACATTGCTACCCAGTGTTGCAGCAGTTTTTCTGTGAATTTTGATTTTTTTTTCTACTCTTTGCTATTTTATATTCAGTTCATTCACAGCTGCAAAACCATTTACATCTGAGTCACACTTCATTAGTCAATACACTTGAAACACAACATTGCCTTTTCTTTTATTCAGTACAAATCTGCACCATGATCTACATGTCTCAAATTTTGCAATGAATCTGCAGATGACAGGTGTCCAAACTTGTAGACATTGATTCGTTCAGATCCATGATTATTACCACCGTAGACTCGGATAGACATTATGTTGCATTCACGGATGAAAAGCGTTCTTACACAGGACGTACTCCTGCTGTGGATATAAGAAGATTATTCTTACTGTCTGCATGAAATTTTCTGCCCATCAGAATGGTGCAGCAGTTTGGTGTAGACTTTGAGAAGTGCATCGAGGGCTCGGGGGACCAAGTGGACACCAATGAACTGTCAGGAGGCGCCAAAATCAACCGCATCTTCCATGAACGTTTCCCATTCGAACTGGTCAAGGTCAGTGTGCTGCTTGAAGAGAATGTGTCGTATGCAACATGTTATTGTTTTTTGTTTATGTAAGATTCTTTGTCTTTCTGTGAGTATTGTTAAATTTTCATCCCCTTCCCTTGTCTCACAGATCGTGTTTGATGAAAAGGATCTACGGCGAGAAATCAGTCACGCAATCAAGAACGTCCATGGTGTCAGGCAAGTGGAGCTGTGACAAAGAAACACACAAGACATTGTTACAAAGCATCCAGAGCAGTCAATAGAGTAGAAATCTGCTTTTGTGTTAAATATTGCCTTACACACATGTTTCACTTTTCTTATTTCATGGAGGCGGTTCTTCTATGATTAAACTTTTAACAATCAAGTCCTGTGAACAACAGACTAAAATATAGATTTCCAAGACGGGTATTCAGATAAGTGTTTTTGTTGTGTGTACTATGTATTTCCTCTATTCTACTTCTCCTCACTGTTCTACCATTCCTCGTATCTCCTCCCTGCAACATCACCCATCTTTGTCTCCTGTGTTAACATTGTCATGTTTATCTCTTCTGTCTGTCAAATCTCATTAGTGGTTTTGTTTTAAATAACATTTACAACTGGTCTTTCACTTTGTCTGTTAGCCCTGTTTCAGCTGTCAGTTTATTTGAAGTGTTTGTCTCTCTCCCCATGATCGGAGATCTCCTCAGCCACCTATTTGTCTTATGTGCACTTAATCGTCTGTCTTTTCATCTGTTATTAGCCTATGTGTGTGTTAACCGTCCCATCTGTCTGCCGCTGTGCCTCTGTCTCTCTGTGCAATCCTCAGAACGGGGCTGTTCACTCCAGACCTGGCGTTTGAGGCCATCGTGAAAAAGCAGATCGTTAAGCTGAAAACGCCCTGTCTCAAATGTATCGATCTGGTCATTCAGGAGCTCATCAACACAGTCAGGCAGTGCTCCAACAAGGTACTGCAGGTGTCCAGCATCTCCCAACCCAGCCAAGGCATGGGGCAAGGGCAGCCATGGGTATAGCAGAGGGTACGCTGACACAGAGTATTAGCCAGCAGATTCCTTAAAATATCTGAAAAAGTCTCAACTGGTCGCTTTAGCTGTAGTATTAAAAAAATAATAATTAAGAAACACTCTGTGCAGTTTGCCCTCGGCCCAGCCCAGCCCTGTTAGCTCTGTGTGCAGGCAGTGCTGTCGTGTTGTGGAGTGTTGTGACGGTGGACGTGTCGCCGTAGATATGAGATGTTTCAAGGACTGTCTGAACATCTCTGGTCTCTCCTGGACAATCTGCAGGTCTCACAGCTCAGTACTTATAGCCAGTCAGAAAAGTGTTGCTAAAAGCAGAAGTTGATCAGGTTGGAGATGACTTCCACATTGACTGTTTTTTAATATTGATGTAGTGTAAGAGGAACTGGCTCGTCAAGGAAGAAGCTGTGACAAACCTGTGGCTTGTCCATTCACACTGTTTGATTTGTTTGTCAACAACTAGAAATGACTAACTGAACAAAGACTTTTTTCTCCTTTTCTTTCTCTCTTTCTCTTTCCTGGCTGCCCTCATTTTCTCTTTCCTTAATATCTACCTACCTCTTTCTCTACCTCTCTCTATCCCCAACACAAAATGCAATCTGACCCCATGACCGTTCAGGACGGGGCTCTTCACCCCTGACCTGGCTTTCGAGGCGATAGTCAAAAAGCAGATCCTCAAACTCAAAGAACCCAGCCTCAAATGCGTGGACCTTGTGGTGTCCGAGCTCACCGCACTCGTCATGAAGTGTGCCGTTAAGGTAACCAGAGACACAACCGCTGGGGCGATGGCATGAAAAAGAGATTCCCTTTTTTTCTCTAAATGCCTATCACTGACATCCCAGTAAAATGGTCACAAAGTGAAATCCCTTTCCATCCCACTACATTACCGTTCTCAGTGCTCAGATATGTGTATTGTCCCATCACTGCTCCGCTCTCACTTCAGAAACTCTCCATACCATTCAGATTGAGCACTGATGTGCAAATCATGTCTTAACTTGTAAGCCCAATTCCAAATGTCCACCAGCCAGCCTCCCTCTGCTGTGGATTTCAGCATCATCTCATTTAAGTATTTAAATTGTACGCACCACCGCATGGCTGGCTCCCTCTCTCCCTGCCCAAGACCCCGCTCCCCTCCGTCAGTCTTGGCGGAGCCGAAGCCGGCTACCCTTCCCCTGCCGACCCACCCATGGCAAACTGTCAACTTGCTATCTGTTGAACCAGGCGAAAAGCAGGTTATGTCACAGGGAGGAATGATAGGAATAACCTGAGGGCTCAATGGATACAGTGGCAGCTTGAATGGGGTGTTTCCATAGCAACAGTGCTCCACTGCCATCTTGTGGAAAGAGGAAGGCCTTGCACTCATTAAAATCAGCTGACAGGCACACTGAAATCCAGCCATCCTTATCCTCCGCTTTACAGGTTTACCTCTGCCTCAGCCCATCCTGTCACTCTCCCCTTCTCATCCAGTCTTCACTAATCGAGTCCGAGATGACACTCTTGAACTAATTAAAAAGTCTTGAAATTCGGAAGTGGTAAAATTTGTTTAAAACATAAAATGTGCTTGGTGATACTTTTAATTTGCCATGCATGGCAAAGGAAAGTGTAAGCTCACATTACTACCTCATTGGTTCGGAATTGATGAGGTCATCTCTGGCTGATAGTAATAACCACTTTGCAGAGCAGACAGTCATTTAGAGTTTAATGTCTGTACGTGTGTGTGTGTGTGTGGTCTTTGGTTGTTTGGATACACGTGACACTAAAATGTCACTTGACTATCTCGTTCCGTTTTCTTTGTTTTCACTTACTCTCACTATTCACTCCTGTTTCTCTCTGATACTTATTGGTAAGTCTAACTCAGACGAGCTCACATGTCAGTGTGTGATTGTGGGTGTCTCCATTCAGTGCTGCAGTTTTGCATTCTGTTGCTTTTCAGCTCAATTCCTACCCCAGACTGAGAGAGGAGACTGAGAGGATTGTTACCTCCCATGTCAGAGAAAGAGAAGGGAAGACTAAGGATCAGGTGACTGGCTAGATACCAGAAGTGAACACTTTGTAAATTGTGTTTAATTGAGATCTCTGCATCCTAATCATGATTTTCTGCCTTTCATTAAGGTTCTGCTGTTGATTGACATTGAACTGTCCTACATCAACACCAACCATGAGGACTTCATAGGCTTTGCTAAGTACGTACCCCTCCTCTCTCAAACCTGTTCTAGCCATACCTTAAGCCTTAGCTGGTAACCCTCGTCTCACTACAGGTATTGTGACTGCGATTAACTACATGCTGCATGTTGTGCCGGGAACACTTGAACGCCATCAGTACACATGAAACCAAGCTGTCGTTTGAAAAAATTCTACAGAATCACCTCCCCTTCACTGCCACTGAATCTGAGTGTTTCCTATAATGAGCCACATGTTGTGAGCAGCGGTGCATCAGTGTGACTTAGCATGCCAATTAGCCACTTCAGAACATGTGTCTCCCTCTAGGGGATGTAGATACTACAATGATCAAGGTCGTACTAGTTGCCCATCTGTCCCCCTTGCTTGCAACAACTCCCCCCCGACCAAGTCAATCAGGCGTGCTTAATTGCTTGACAGATGAACTTTCTGTCTGCTGTTTGAATGTCAGTATGAAGCCTGCAGCATCAGACAGAGCCTTTTTTAATGTTTTACTGCAATTAACTTTGACTGCTGTTATGCACTGAACTTATTTGCACACTTGAGGCATCTTATTGTCTTTTTGTGGTGTGTATCCGCTTGAGGTTTAGAGGTCATCATGGTTGAATTCACATGGTCCCTGGTGTAGCACTCACAGTAACATGTAGTCGAGTGGAGATGCCCTCCTCTGTGTGGGTCATGCTGTCGAACGATTAACAAGGCAAGCCCCCATTTGTGTGTGTTTGTGTGTGAGAAGGTTTACTGCCTAGCCTCTGCATGGCCAGTAGATTGCTGTAATATGCTGGAGGTCAGCGAGGGCTGTTTAACGGTTCTCATGACATCACTTTCAGTCTTGACTACAGAAGGCTGGATGATGGTAGCTCCCCGCCGGGGTACAGCAACAACAGGTGGGCTAAAAGAAAGGATGTAGGATTGTGTGTATGATTGTGTGTGAGTGTTTGACCCTTTATGTTGTTAAATCCACTTCCATCTTTATGTATTTGCACAGCAGAACAATATTTTAAATCCTCAAAGTGTTTTATTGCCACCTTTCTGCAGTTAGTCAGTAGAGTTATATCAATGACAAAGGTCCTTTAGTGGGAAGTTAGGAAAATGTCCTAGTGATCGTTTTTTCTGTCTGATTTGAATTGTTAAGTAAAAAAAATGGCTGTGGCTCAGAGTAGGCTGTCTGTTAACAAGAAGGTCAGGAGTTTGATGCCCAGCTCCTGCAGCTATATGTTGAAGTGTCATTGGTCAAGACACTGAACCCTGGATTGCATCTGAGTGTCATAGTCAGCGGTGTGCATGCATATAAATGGGATCAGTGAATAAAGATGGGCACTTAAAGTAGCAGCCTCTACCATCAGTGTGTGAAGGAGTGAATGTGACGTGTAGTGTAAAAGCTCTTAGTAGTCTAGATGACTAGAAAAGCGCCAAACAAGTCACAGTCCATTTACCATTGAGGAAATGTTTATGCTCTAGTCTAAGTCCTTCAGCCTCTTGTATTAAACTTAAAAAAACATTGTTGCACCCGTAAAAACGTTAGCCTTCACTGTTTCCAGAAGTGAAAATAGGTATCTTAGGGGAATAAGAACAATTCTGGGTAAAATATTTTAGTAGCATGTGCTCAAGTTGTGCACATAAGAGAAGGATTGCTCATTTATCACTCAGGGATGTGATTTTCTTTCTGTATTTTTCTGGAATTCCACTTTTGTTTATGGACTTCTGAAATGTTCAATATCCAAAGGGATGTTAGCTGGTTTTCCGCTGTTACTTGAATTACAGATTTTCAAGGACAGTGTTGAGCCATCTTGGCTCTCTGTTCATTTGCCGAGCTACAAACAAACTCCAAAGCAAGCATCCGTTAGTCTACAGCTAACAAGACAGTCTGCTGCAAGCGCAGAGTTCTGAGGACGATTTGATAGAGACACTGTGTTTTTGTATGTTTTCAGTTTAAGGTCCGCACTTTTTGTACTGTATATTTTCCTGCCTTTTTTTTCCATCACCAATTGCATGCCTGATACATAGAGACGGACCACTAGATTATTTTCTTACTTGTCTCTCTGGGCTTTTGAACTAAAGGCTATAAAACATAAAACTGGAAATTCATAGAGTATCATGGAGCATATGTAACATGAAATTTTAGTTTGAATGTGCTTATTTGGAATAGGTTTAGAGTGACGTTCTCCACATTAATTGTCTTTCCTGTCCGTCTTTGTGTAACGACAGCGCCCAACAAAGGAACACGGCTGCAAACAAGAAGAGGGCCATACCCAACCAGGTAGGAAACCTTTCAGCTGTCCCACATTTCATCTCCCCCGACTGATACCTCCCATTACAAGGCTTTTAATCAACAATGTGAATATGTACCTCCCTCCCCCCCCCTCCCTCCCTTCAGCGATGATTTATCCTATAGCCATTAATCTATATCTGCATATGTATGTTACTGTTAACAATACCCGACACTGTACATCATTGTAACGACTGACTGTACCCAGTCTTCCCTAATTCTCATCATCAACTCCCTGATGTCCATGATGTTATAAAGCGGGTCCTCTTTTTGTCCGACTGATGTTTTAGTCACATTTGCTGGATTTCATGTGTGTTTATAAGATTCTGAAAGAGGATTATTATGATATTACTGCCGATCGGAGTTAAAGATCACAGATTGAGTGAGGGGGAGAGTTGCATTAGTGAACCGAAAGAAGACCCTGCTTCCCCACGTTTCTGAAACATGTGTCTTTGTTTCCATTGCTATTATTAATTGCTGTCTGCATGTAACCCAGGCATGTTGTTCACCAACAAAGCAACAAACGCTCCAACAGTTTTGTTGATTGACTTGTTGCTTTCCCATTAACACACAAGCATTTTTTTATGTTTTGTAATTCAGAATGTGCATGGAAACTCGCACCTGTCAGCTGAGCAACAATTATGACTACCAAGTTTTGATGTTCTTGAAGTAATTCTAATTGCATGTAACTCTCTTGCTCTGTCTCTCTCTGTCTCTCTCTGTCTCTCTCTGTCTCTCTCTCTCTCTCTCTCTCTCTCTCTCTCTCTCTCTCTCTCTCCCTGACTGTCTTCTTCTGTCCTCTTCTGGTTGTCTCATGATTCTTTCTCTCTGTTTTCCTTCTGCTGCTCCCGTGGAATCTTCCATTCTCACTTGTCACCTTTTGAATTCTCTACTCTTTCGCTCTCCTTCGATCCCCTTTCTCTCCTTCTCACTTTTGTTTCCTTCTGACTCCCTCTACCCTCCCTCCCTTCTCCTTCCTCTGGCCTTCCCTCGTCTCTGCTTGCTTGCCTTCTCATTTCTTCTGGCCTTGATTTTATACTGTCCCCCCCTTTTGCTTTAATTTCCCCCTACACTTCCTATTACCGCAGGGTGAGATTCTGGTAAGTACCCCACAGATTTAAACCACGCCCTGCCAGGGGGCAGCAGGGGTAGACCGCATAGAAGAACTGAGGCCATCACACACAGGTCAGCCTATATGATTAGGGTGGAAGAGACACACTGCTGTGAGATAACAGGAGAAACGGTTTGCTGTGAATACAGGAGTCAATACTTCTCACCACATGAAGTCATTTTACCCCTCTGCAGCTTGGTGGACTTGGAGAGGGCCATGAGGAAAAGGTAGAGTCTCACGGCTGATCAAACGGATATCATTGATCATTCTAGCATTAGCACACAGTTACCAGTAATTTGGAACTGTCTCTAAAGTAAAACACAGCTCATGTAATTTGGTCTCATTTCATTAAGGCTGTAATTGCCTTTAACTGTGCACATCTGGGTCGCTACTAACATTTTGTCCACCAAAATCTTTTCTCAAGATATACATGTTTTTACCCCCACACTCTGTAAGACCGTGTGTTATAAAGTGCCCCAAAGAGAAACTTGGGGAATCTTCCACCACTGACTGTGGACGCCATCAGTTCTCGTGTCTTCAGGTTCATACCTCTGCTGCTGCCTCAGCACGGTGACTGAAAAGTTTGCCTTGTGAGAATCATCCTGAACGCCCACCGGGGGGGGGGGGGGGCAGAACAAGGAGGGAAGCAAGGAAATCGGTAACACACAGTAGAATACATTTTTGATTTTTCTTTTAAATTGTCTTTTCATTCATCTCGTTTCAAACGACTAACCGACAGTCGTAATATTTGTTTCCGTTGTAATTCCTTTAACATTCTGACTGAAAAGGAAAGAACCTGTCTCTAAGTCTCTTCAGTGGTTCTTCTTGATTCAGAGCCGATCCCAATTTAAAGGTCACAGCTTTGGGATGTATTATAATGATGAAATCAAAATGTTAGGCGACTTTGTTTTTAACACTTCACACATTTTTAAATTGGCATGTTTCATCATAATCACTTTAGTTTCTGTGAATCTTTGTTTTCAATCACAAATCTAATCAAACATCTTTATTGAGTCATCTGAATCACATACACTGGTCAGACATGGATGTAACTTTGACAGTTCACAACTACTTTAGAATCATGCAGAAACAAAAGCATCTCATCTGTAACACCCTCATATCTCATGGTTTCCTCTTTCTGTATATGAACTTGGTCACCGACTTTAATACAGGGGATTGAAAACATTTCCTTTGTTCTAAAAATGTTACCTCCTCGACAAGGCAAACTCCCCGTATAACTCCTGTGTCATTCTCTCTCATGTTTATGTTTGTGCTTTTGAACTAATGGAAGCTTTTTTGTTTGGTCTTAACTCACTATAGTCCCCTAATGGATGGAGAGGGAGTGCAGGCGAGAGGTCTAAAGCAGACCTGAAACCTTTTTTACTCCTAGCTTTACTTATTATAGGAGCACATCTTTTACATAGAGGAAAGCCCCACACCCTTCATTTCTTCCTATATGGAGAGACATTGCAGCTTAAAAGACTCCTAGAAAATGAACCGTTTAGTCTTCACAGAGCAATTTCTCGACTCAGCTCTGTCTCGTGTGTTCGCTCCCTCTCCATCTTAAAATATGAAGTTTGCTGTTTAGAATTCAGCCCCTTCAGGAGTTCTGCTAAACCTGCTTTCTTTCCTCAGTATTTAAGCTTTTTTCCTCCCCATACCTTTTTTTTTTTTAAACTCACTTCTTCCCTCTTTTTACCTCATGAGGGTGTATACACCCTGCTTTGTGTATCCCCTTTCAAAGTTAACTCCACTAACTCTGCTTTTTTTTTAACAACCAGTACATAGGTTAGCTTTTACTGACCCACTGACACTAACATACCACCGCCGACCTACGATCTCTGACACTGTATTGAAGATAGCTTGGTCTGGACACCATCTGGACCTGTTTGTTGGTTTAAGGATTTCTATTCTGCTGACTGAAAACAAACCAAGGAATACATCACATATTCAGAATTTGAACCATTGATGCCTTTCTGTACATTTAGCCATATAGCACACAATGTTTTCTACTGATTGTGTGTTTTCTCAACTTTCAAAACTAAGTTTCAAACTTTGTTTGAAGGCATATTTAAAAAATCACAAGAACCAAAATTGAATATAAAGGTAAAAAGACAACCCTATTTACAGTTATGCAGCAGGTAAGGACTTCAGATTTTATTAGTTTCAATTACATCCCAGTATGATTGTTGAAACATTAATGGGACCCTCATGTCACCAGTGCATACGCCTGATTGATAAAGCTGTTTTCCCTCCATCCTCCTGGTACCCCTCTCTCCCTACCACCCTTTCTTTGTGCTACATCTTCACCTGCACAGGTGATCCGGAAAGGCTGGTTAACCCTCAACATCAGCATCATGAAGGGAGGCTCCAAAGAGTACTGGTTTGTCCTGACTGCGGAGAACCTGTCCTGGTACAAGGATGAGGAGGTGAGAGTTCTGTTCCCGTACTGTGTTAGTTTTTTTCATTCTGGAGATACAGTGATACGGCGAGCTGAGATGACACAGCATACAGGAATGCAGTAAGATGATGCAGTTTTTGTGCGTAGCTTTAGACTTGCCGTCGATCACCCTCGATGTTTGGATTTGTAGGTGTCCTAGCCCAGCCTAACCAATGTGCAGACTACTGTTCAACTGTAGCCTGATGAACAGGTAGTCTGAACACTGGGCAGGCGGGGGAGGTGAGGAGGACTCTGATGGGAGGAAAGACCATGAGGTTACTTCAGCTACAGGTCGCTAACCTAAGAGAGTAGGACAAAGGGCACAGAAAGCAAACATTAGCACTCTGAAATAATTTTTAAAACGAGAAGTGGTGGATATATCTAGACCCATACTGCTGAAATATTGGAATCTGGATAAATGTGTATTTTTTAAATCTTTAAAGTATTTATTTTAACCAACTCAAGCAAATAAACAGACATGGCTGTGCTGCTGTGGCTAAATAACCTCGAGTGTGCACACCCAGCAAACTCTACAGTTCATTGATATTATTAAAGACCTTTCAAAAAGTTGCAATAAAAGAACATGTCAGGGTGCTTATAGTTGAAGTCTGAATATTTAAAAAACATTGATGGAAGTTAAAAGTCTTCTATGACTTCTGAGTTTTTAAAACGCTCCAATAGCGTTTTGATCACTCACCAAATGAGGCTTCAGTTGTATCCACTCTGTCTGTGACGATAAAAGACCCCTCAAAGATATTTCCACAAAACACAACTAAAGATAAACTCTAGTGCAACGGCCTCAGTCCGGCCAAACGGCAACCACAAATGGGGCATTTGGTATCGGCCACCTTTTGCGAAAAAAGCAGCAGAAAGAGAGAGTGCGAGAGGGAGGATGGTGGAGGCAAACTGACGTGGCAGGCGGGCTGAAATGTTCCAGCCGGGATCTGACTTTGGAATTTGCAGGAAATCGTACTGGGTTACGGGGGGGGGGGGGGGGAGAGAGATTGTGTGTGTGCATGTGTGTAGACTCTTACCCATGAATCCTTCAGGTTTTACAGAGTAAATGTTGATGGTGATTTCTGCTGGAGTACATTTTTATATCTAAAGCACATGATATATTCCTGTATATTGTTCATGTTTTTATGTGTTTGTTTGTTTTCTCTGCACGTGCAGTTAAGTATTGCAACCTTAGTGTATGTATGTGTGTGTGTGGTTGTGTGTGGTGGGGGCTGGGGATTGTGTGGAACTGTGAGTGATGTAACTGTTGGGCCCGCGCCACTCTCTGTGTTAGTGCAGACATAAATGCTTCCAGATGTCTCTGTTCAAGAGGGAAAGCTGGCACCCCATCCCCCGCCAGAACTCCTTCATGCTCCTCCTTTTCCTCCTGCTCCTCCTCATCACGCACTCCTCCATCTCACCAGCCTGCTGGTGGTCCACACAGATTTACGCTTTCTCTTTATTATTAAAATATAAAAACGCTCCCTTATGACACCATGACTTTTTCTGTTTTCTGATGTATAAACTGTTTAAGTTCTGCTGCAAATCCATGTTTCTGTCTCATTCCAGGAGAAGGAAAAGAAGTATATGCTTCCTCTGGACAACCTGAAGATCAGAGATGTTGAGAAAGGATTTATGTCCACAAAGCACATTTTCGCAATCTTCAACACAGAACAGAGGTCAGGGTTGTGACCTTCAGTGAAGACATTTCAATGATTTGATTTGTATCTTCTTGTGGTTTCTTGTACATGCATGTCCTTGGGTACTGTGTGTAAACCAGGCAATTGTGTTCACCTTTTCTATAGGAATGTGTACAAGGATCTTCGCCAAGTAGAGCTGGCTTGTGATTCCCAAGAGGATGTGGACAGCTGGAAAGCCTCATTCCTAAGGGCAGGAGTTTATCCAGAGAAGGACCAGGTATGTGGGCTTTCTGTCTCTGAAGTCCTGAAATAGTTATTACGGTCGTTATAAGCACAACCGCCTTCTAAGTTCCTTTGTTTTTGCTTAATTAAGACAACAATCCTAACTGCTACTTGAATGAAGAAACTTAATAAATGTTTTGAAATTAAATATTTGTTCATCTTTATTGTTTGACATCAATAGGCAGAGAATGAAGACGCTGCCCCTGCAGACACATTCTCTATGGACCCTCAGCTGGAGCGGCAGGTGGAAACCATCCGCAACCTGGTGGATTCATACATCGGCATCATCAACAAATCCACCAGAGACCTCGTGCCCAAGACCATCATGCATCTCATGATCAACAGTGTGAGTCCAACAGTCCCCAGCAGCAGACACAATCCATAAACAAACAAAGAGTGTATGCAAAGTCCAACACAAACCTAAAACAAAAGATCATCTTAGTCTGTGACCTTAAAGCTCCAGTGAGGAGTTTAAACTGGTTATGAAACATGATTATGGAATCAATACTGATCCCTCTAAATCACCTACAGAAGCAGTTGAGACAACCAGCTACAACAACACTTATTTCTATGTAGTATTTTCATTCCCTGTTACAAATGCCACCGGGTCGCTGCCAGACTAAACCATTAACAGTACGCTGCTGAACATTTATGTTTCTGTGTTCCACGGCAATGATCCACAGTGAGTTAGTCTATTAACGGAGGGAGGATGATCGTTCCTCAATACCATGACTAGACATATAAACAGGATGAGATGAGCAAAGACACACCACTTTGTCCACAAGAGGCGCCAAAGTCAACAAGCCAAAAAAGTACAAAATAAAATCATTTCCTGATCTTTTATTGACAGAGATAAAAGGTATTTTAAGGGGCTGTCATGAAACGTGGATTCTTTTGTCGAAACAGTTTTCTTTCATGGAGGTTTTAGGTATTCAACCAGTAGAGAATTAAGAGAAAGCTATGAACACAACTTTGTACAGTGCAGTGTACAGCCCAGCCAATGTTGGTGGTCTAGCTGAGTGTATGTTCTTACTCTTAGGGATTTATTTTATGCTAATTACTAACACTGGCTAACACCTGTGTGTAAAGATATGTTTTTATCATATATTTACGCATGTTTCCCCCAATTTATGAACCCTTAGATCATTTAACTTCTGACTTCCGGTGCACCTACCTGCGTCTACACATTTTTAATGTAAATAAAGTGAATTGCATTTACAGTTGTTGAAATAATCTTTACTTCCTTCAGGCAAAGGATTTCATCCACTCGGAGCTGCTGGCCTACCTCTACTCATCTGGAGACCAGAACAGCCTCATGGAGGAGTCAGTCGACCAGGCCCAGCGGAGAGACGAAATGTTGCGCATGTATCATGCACTTAAGGAGGCACTGCACATAATTGGCGACATTAGTACAAGCACCGTCTCCACCCCAGCACCCCCACCTGTCAATGACACCTGGATGCAAGAAGCCAGGTGAGATAAGGTTCTAGATAAGCTTCAAGTGTAACAGCTGGGAAATACAATATCTAGTGGCACCTCCTGTTTCCCAGAATCAGCCAAATATTGAATCTCTCCTACATAGGGAGTGATGATTTCCTCACCTCTACAGGAAGATTAATGAGATCTTTTACATGATTAAGATGTCAGTTTCAATTCATCATACTCTCCTCTCAGCCCAACCCCTCAGCGCAGGCCGCCTGCTGCTGCTGCACCGCCCCCCAGCCGCCCACCTGCTGTTCGGGGCCCAACACCAGGACCACCTCTGAACCCTTCCCCTGCTTTCGGAGCTCCTCTTAACCCCTCTCCCGCATTCGGTGCGCCACCAATCCCCTCTCGCCCAGGCCCGGCCATGAATGCCTATAACAGTGGCCAGGATCCCTTCAGTGCACCCCCACAGATCCCCTCCAGGCCAGCCCGAGTCCCACCCGGTGTGCCTAGGTAAGATCTCCTGTTGTATCAATACCTTGGTTTGATTTGATACATTACAGTTTTTGTTTTACTGTATTTCCAGCATTTTGCTCTAACGTCACGTCATCATCTGTCCTTCAAGTGTCACAGGCATTGTTCATCATTTCTCAGTCTGACCACTCATCCCGTCTACATATAATATTATTTTTATTTGACTTCATTTACCGCTCACTCTCTCACTCCGTTTGTTTCTCCCTGACCTCACTCTCTCACTCCGTTTGTTTCTCCCTAACCTCACTCTCTCACTCCGTTTTTTTCTCCCTGACCTCACTCTCTCACTCCGTTTGTTTCTCCCTGACCTCACTCTCTCACTCCGTTTGTTTCTCCCTGACCTCACTCTCTCACTGTTTTTTCCTCCCTGACCTCAATCTCTCACTCCGTTTGTTTCTCCCTGACCTCACTCTCTCACTCCGTTTATTTCTCCCTGTCCTCACTCTGTTTGTTTCTCCCTGACCTCACTCTCTCACTCTGTTTTGTTTCTCTCTGACCTCACTCCGTTTGTTTCTCCCTGACCTCACTCTCTCACTCGTTTGTTTCTCCCTGACCTCACTCTCTCATTCTGTTTTTTTCTCCCTGACCTCAATCGCTCACTCTGTTTTTTTCTCCCTGACCTCACTCTCTCACTCCGTTTATTTCTCCCTGTCCTCACTCCGTTTGTTTCTCCCTGACCTCAATCTCTCACTCTGTTTTTTTCTCCCTGACCTCCCTCTCTCACTCCGTTTGTTTCTCCCTGACCTCACTCTCTCACTCTGTTTTTTTCTCCCTGACCTCACTCTCTCACTCTGTTTTTTTCTCCCTGACCTCAATCTCTCACTGTTTTTTTCTCCCTGACCTCACTCCGTTTTTTTCTCCCTGACCTCACTCTCTCACTCTGTTTTTTTCTCCCTGACCTCAATCTCTCACTGTTTTTTTCTCCCTGACCTCAATCTCTCACTCGGTTTTTTTCTCCCTGACCTCACTCTCTCACTCTGTTTGTTTCTCCCTGACCTCACTCTCTCACTCCGTTTGTTTCTCCCTGACCTTCACCTTTTTTCCTCTCTCTGTCGGGTTGTGTTGGTTTCTCCGCTGTCTCTATGTGAGCAAGTCTCACTCCTTGTTCTGTATCTTTTCTCCCCGTTGCAGCCGAAGACCCCCTGGCGCTCCTTCTCACCGGCCCACCATTATCCGCCCTGCTGAGCCCTCCCTGCTAGACTAGACCCGTGGCCCAGTCCACCTAATTGTGTGTGTTTTGTGTGTGGGTTTGTCTATCTGCACTCTAAAAGGCCAGAGGCGGGGACTCGAGGGGAGGGAATCAGACTTCTAGTGGTGCAGTTTGTGCATTGTCCAGCCGCATTAATATGTCTCTTCAAGCAATGTAATAAGCTGCTCATACCGTCTTTATCAGCGCACATGAATGAGAGGAACGCCTTAACCACTTGAATATAACATTCGATTGCTGTGGAAATGGTTCATGACACATACAACGCAGCTGATTTCTGAGATGCATTTAGCTTCTATCGGTAGCAGATGATGTATCAAATTCAGTTCAAGCCCTTTTCTCATAGAAACAGCTGGTTTATTTCTTCCAGACAGAATCTCAGTCAATAACTTATTAACAGTTACATGCTTTCTTTCCTCCCCCAGACCTTTTGTAATTGGTCCAGAAGCCCCAGTCGAATCTCTGTAATATACACACCTTATGTGATGTCAGTGTTTTACTGGGTTTTCATTTCCTAACTGATCTCATACGGAAAAAACGAAAGCTTCTAATCACTGTTGTGGTGTCCATCACAGTTTTTCCCTTCAGTTATTTTATCCGAGTGACTTTGTCCTTTTAAATGAATTTAATAAACGTAGCTTTAAAAGAAATCCTAATCGCAGAAAGAAAAAAACAAAGAGTATAGACACGCGGGGCAGGGTTGTGTGAGACTGAGAGAGTATCTTTAATCCCCTTTTTTTAAATTATTCATCCAAGATGAAAAGATGTCAAACAGATTTACTGTTTCATTTCCAGCACTTCTAACCCAGTTTCCTATCCCTTCCCAACAAACCGGACATTACAGGGATGTTGTAGTCCCTTACCAGAACACTATGCACAGAAACCCGAGAGAGAGACTAAAGACTGTCTGCACTTTGTTGGAAGCTTTCTCTCCGCTAATTTTGAGTTGATAAAGCCTCGAATTGTAATCCCTTTAGTCTCAGTTGAACTCCAATGGGTCTTTCAGCTTTCAGGTGGAATTCAGTCCTGTTCATTCCTGGATTAGAGCAGAGCACACAGCACAGATTCATTTTCAGAGAAGATCAAACTCAGTGAAGTGGGAGGGGGGGTAGATGAAGATCTGAGGTTTAGAGTATAAAGATGGTTTTAAGCATTTAGGGGTCGGCACATCTCTCTCTGGGTTTAGTTGTCAAGACATGTATTATTATCACTTCTGCTTCCTTGCATTAAAATAACATTGTATATAGCGGGACTACTCTGGGGAGTGAGCACTTGCATCTCATTTTAATCGCACGGCGGTTGATGACAAAAACATGCTTCTTTTTATAATCAAAGCCCGATATGTTGAACCAATAGTTGCCCCGTTAAAAGAAGCTCTAACTCTGTTGTTGCATTGATTAGCCTTGGATGTAGAGGGGGAAAAGATCGGTTATCTACTGGTGCATTATTTATAACCTGGGCATTTGTCTTTCTTTTAATGTTTTTGGTTGCAATTAAATCAGCTCTGTACAACTCCGCTCCCCAGCTTCTCCTAGACTGTTAATCAAGGCTTCTTCTACAGGGATGAGCTGTCTAAGTGTTTTGTACGTGGGGGGGAGGGGGGGCACATTGTCTACACAGCTGTGTTTTTTCTTTTTTGATAACAATGAGTATATTATGATTGCTCTTTGAGGGTATTTGACCAATTAAAAACAACTTTAAAAGCAGGGAGCGGCGTTGGGGCTACCATGATGTTTTGTGTTTTTGGTTTGATCAGTAGTGGTGGTGAACAGGTGGTGGGGATTGTTGGTGTTTGAAGGCACACCCTGACTAGAGAGGCAGTCTGGACTTTTCTCTCCTCTCACTTCAGAGAGAAGTGTAATCAGCCAATCTGACAAGATAAGAAACTTAAAAAAGAACAAAAAACAGAACTGTCCAAATCCAGACTCTCCAGACAGCGTGTGCTTTTTCTTCCCCTGTGTTTTTCTGTGCAGGTCTGGCTTTCAGTGACAGTGCCTGAATGAGCTTAACAAGCTCTTGGAAAAATGTTCCCCTTTACATAAGTTCTTCCACAAAGACCTAGTAGGCAAATCTAAAGTAGTTCTTGAAGGAAAATTCCTTATTGGCCAAAGTTTGTTCAAAATCCCATGTGCCTGTCATGTTAGCCTGCCCCTGTGAAGCCTGGACTCTAAATACCCTGTGATACATTAGGTTGTGGTGACACTGCCTCCCTTCCTAATGGATGTACCCTGCTCCTTCCTCTTTCCCTCCCCTGCCTGAATTTGGTAGAAGGGGTTGGAAACCAACCTGCAAAAAAAAAACATTTTCTTTTTGTTTTGCAAACCCTTGTCAAGTGCCTCTGTAGCAAAATAATGATTTGAATAAACATGAACTGATTTAGTACGGCGAGTAAATAAAGAGGTGTTGTGTACAATAAAGGGACTGGCTCTGGTGGTTGGTGTCTCCTTGTGTCCTGTGTGTGAGCCACTTTCTCTCTTCTTTCTCTTTTTGATCAAATAGCCCCCCTCCTGGTTTGCCTCCCCTCACTTTTCCTCCCTCTCTTCATTTAAACCAATGCAGACTGGCATACATGTTTCTATGGTAACCTTCTACTGGCAGCCTTTCTACTGCAGAGTTACATTACTGTGACTGTGGAGACTGTGAGACTTTTTACCAATCAATGTAACGTAATAAGAAAACAATACTGTGTATTAGTAATAATTATAGCCTTTTATTCTTGCAAATGAATGAATTAGAATTACATTAACAGTGCTTATAAAAGAACTGAACCCCAGCCATTGTAGGTTTTAAAGTTTATGTCTCAGAATTTCATGAAAGTAGACTGAAAATCTTTTTTACAGAAAGAAAACCTGTAAGCTTTAGGGGGGAATATTGTCTACTTGAATTTTGCACAGATTTTTTTTTGTATTCAGGTGATTTATTGTTAACCCATAGAATAACTCTGTTCAGAATATTAAATCAGATGTATGGTGAATAAGCCCAAGTCTTGTGCAACAGTGCTAACTTCTTAATATAGTATTGTGTTTAATGCGATTCTCCTTTAGGTGCCGCATAAAGGATCCCAGGATTTGACTAATTATGTCCTCTAATGAGAATGAAGGATGATCTCTCTTAGCTAAACACGGCTGCCGTATTATAAACGACCTCGCTGTTCCCATGATTGGATCCAGTATAGTGTTATTATCTGTCAAAGAGCTTGTCATATAAGGTTAAGAGATTAATGTTGGTTGATTCTTCCTGAACAGGCGCCCGGCTCCCCGTCGAAACCAATGGTGACCTTGACCAGCCTGAAGTGAACATGAAATGACCTCAATCCACGGCAGCAGCAGGACTGCAGGAGAACTACATATATTCATTTCAGTTCACGGAAAAAGAAAAAGCTGCAAAACTTTTGTGGCAGATGTGCATGATTCTGTCTGAAAAACCTACAAACTGCCATTTTTAGTTATAGAAAAGTCAGACTAAGTTATTTATGTTGTCCGATTGACCTGTGGCACTAAAATATTGTATAGTATAGATCTACTTAGCACACAATCTAATTGTGTTCAATGAAATATTTCCTGTTCCTTGGTTTTTACCTCATTGTCTCTCCCAGAAGACTTAAATTGTTATTTATTTACGATTTAGCTCTTAGGGATATTTGAGTAAATAAGAGATACAGCATGTTTTATTTGTCCTATAGTGCCTTTCCAATGGTCTAGCATGAATTCATAATGATCTAATACCAAAACGTCAATGGCTGAGGAAGCTCAGCATTCTTAGGAAGTTTAAACAATGTCAGATAAATATAGAGGCGGCGACTGAAATGCACAGTAGGTTTTATCTCCTGCGATTTGAATATTTTTTTGCCATGAAGTGCAATTGCATGAAAAAATGACAGCATTCAAACCGCAAGGAATGAAATGACTCAGTCAACGCTTGTACTTTCCATCTACATGACTGCAGTTTCTCCTTATTTGACCTCCAGATGGAGACATTGATCAGGGAGACTGTTTTATTTGCGTGAATACATGATTATTATTTTTTTCCATCACAGTAAAGATGTCACAGGTGTATTTTTAAAAGAATTTACACAGTTAAACAGTTACAGTAGATTCTTAGGAGGTAGGGTTTCTGATATTTGGTATGTGGTTTGTTGTTGATAAAAAATGCTTAGGGCTATGAATGTTGATGTGAAATTTAGAATCTGAGCTTCAATAAAAGAACATTCCAGTGAGAACACCTGTGGTTTTCTAGCTTCTACAAGTGTTTTGTGTATGCTTGTTTTTATATATTTGATGTCTGCGTGAGTGTATATTACAGTCTGGGTTTTAGGTGCTGATGAGACTAGAATCACAATTTCACAAAATATATAAATAAGTTTTTCATTACATGAAAAGTCATGCAAGAGGTTTTGGGGTCAAATTTCAAGTGTAAATAATGAAAGAGTTTGGATTTGACTATGTGCACACGCGCTTGGTGCCATCAAAGAGGCGTCGCAGGGTGTAGATTTGGCTGACAGCGACTGTAAGCATGACAAGCATGCTGAAGCAGGACCAGAAGGACACTCGCCACAGGTTGTCCTCCAGAAGGTAGCGGTCCCTGGTCTCAAAGGCCCGCAGCATGGCCTGGAGCTGACGGCTCCTCTCCAGGTGCTGGTACACCGAGTCCATGCTCGCCTGGGGGGAGGAAGCATAGAGGGAGATGAAAGTCGGAGCTTGGATGTGTTCACATCAAATAGAATGACACCACTGAACTGTTGAGGAGAGGAACTGGCTCTTTATTTTCCCCTCTCACCCTGATGTCCTCCAGTCTGTAGTCCAGGCTCTCTGTTCTGGCCACGTCTGCCCACTCATCCTGGGCTCCACCTGCGTTGTTCTGATTATTAATGATCACCTCAAAGAACACCATCTTCTCTGACAGTTTACTGAAGCTGTTGTCAAAACACAACCTGTAGTCTCCATCATCTGTAGGATGCACCCTGCAGGACAACAGAAAGGTGTCAATCTTTGCAAACAGGTGACCTTTGCTTAAAACGTGGTTAATATAATTCACAAGAGTACAACAAAGGAGAGTGTGATCATTTTCAAAGGACGGGAAATGCATCTGAAATAAAGTCCAATATTTTGGAGTTTTGAGGCATTCAAAATAAAGAGAACAGGGATGGAGCACAATGTAAAGGAGGTGGGTGTTGTTAAGCATACAGATGACTAACATGTGAAGGCCATCAGATCTCCTGAAGTCAGAGACCAGCCTGTATCCACTGGGTGAGATGATGCTAAAGCCAACATCCAAACCTGAGCCAGCTATCACCTGCAGAAAAAGAAAGATTGAGGTCAGTGATGCAGCATAGCTGGGCTCTGACTCACATTTCCACTGACACATTTTAACACCAGACATGATGCTCACACAACTCGAGCTTTTAAAGAATTTCTAGGCAACTGTGGAATTCAACTTTTAGCCCTGATAGCACACTGAGCAACAAGCCTGCTCACTTAGAATACCACAGTGATACTAATTAGGCAGATGTGTTCAGGAGACCTGATAATGATTCAGTGACTTTCTCATTATTTTATTTCTATCACACCTAGCTACCTGTGGGGTTCAGCCTGTCATCATTTGGAAGATTACACCGAATTCTAAGCGTGCTAATGAACACATGGTCTTCAGCTGTTTGTAAAAAGGTATAGCAGAGCCATGCTGCAGTACTGTGAGCATTATGTGTATACTGTTCCAGTGATGAGGATGCCATGCTCTCCCCTCATCCTAAACACTCACAGAGCGCAGGGATGTGTGACAGCAGGGTAGCCAGGTTTATCTTTACACTTACAGCTTCCGCTTCAAGGTAGTGAAGTTCGCCTATGATAACATAACTGCTGTGTCGTGCAATACAAAGGTCAGGGCCATAAAATGTTGAGGACACAATAAAACATAACAACAGGTTTGTTGAACAAATGTGCTTTTGAATTTAGGCTTGATATGTTTGCATGAGTCAAAAAATATAGGCCTACATATCGTTGTTATAACTTTTTTTCAATGTGTTCTTCCAGAATATATATACTGTTCCAGAGGTTTCATTGTAAAGTTTGTCTTCTCTTTACCCCTTCTGAGGACATGTCTCTCTCTATATAACAACAGAAACAGTATGTTTTCTTATCTCTCTGCATTTAGACCAAAGTCCAAAGTTCTTTTGTTTTTCAGTAGACTACAGTATAAGAAATCATTATCAAGCTTTAATAAAGCTATCCAAATCTTGAAACACAACACTACACCATCACAATTGGTGTGTCATTGTATCAGGAATTTAAAGAGTTAAACAGATGGAGAAGAATATGATAATTACCTGGTATTCAATGTGCATGCTGCAGTTGTTTTCTGCGGTTTGGTAAAAACACTCTGTACTTCCAGCAGGTAATAAAAATGTAAAGGCAATATCTTTGTTTGGCCCCGAACCCAAAGTCAGGCCAACAGTTAAACATGCCAGAAAACAGAGCTCTGCCGGCACAGTCATCATCCTCAGCTTACAGTGCGCAGTCCACTTCATCTACTTCTAGCAACTTTGTTCTATGTTACACATGAACAATGTGTCTGTCTTACAGTATCATTGCTTGCTCCCATAATCCACCTGTCATCAACGGGTTCCTTTTTCCTTCAAAGTTGAATGAGAGGAGCCAACGTCTGAGTGGAACAGGAGTGATCTGCAGTCTGGACTGAGGCCACATGCAAATAAGGAGAGGTGACAAGGTACAATATGCTCATGTGGTGTTTGCTTACTATGAGCCTCATAAAGGCTGATGAAGGCTTGTACAATAAGTGAAGGTAGTTTTGGCTTGTAGCAATTGAAAGATGTGTATTTGTTTCAATGTAACAATTTCCTTTTTCTTGTTCTTTCTCAGCATTTATAATTCCCTTTGAGAAATGGCAGCTGTCATAACATTTTCTAGTCAGTAGAGGGCGCTTAAGGTGAAAGCATTCACTTTACAGCCACTACAGCGTACAGGGACTGAAGGGGGAGAATTTGATACATGGGTAAATTAAGAAATGCATAAAGAATACTCGTTTTGGTACCATATCACTTTTGTATAAATTATCCATGATTGAAGATTTCTAAATATTTATTTAAGTAACATTTTTTCCAGTCACTTTGAGTAGCCTTTATGTGTCAAGCTGAATTGATTGTACACAGTACCTTCATGTTGATTTATAGGCTATGCCACAAAGTTAGGGGACCATGGGCGATTCTTGAGTCTATTGGGGCCCAAGGTGGAGATTCACAGCTGGCCCTCCAAATAGCGCTCATCCCCATTATGTTACAAATAATGAAACACCAACAAAGTAATTTAGCGGAAGTCTCTCCCACATATTTAGGGCTAGACAAGCATCATTCAGTCAACTATTATATGAGTGAGAGGTGTCAGATGGGACCCGCTTAGGGAGGTTTCCTACTGTCATGG